GTGATCCAAAACCCACCACGAAAGTCTCCTCCTTTTTCGGTCGGGAAGATCAGAATTCAATTCTCTTCTCTCCGACAGATTGAGGAAACGTGAATCGCCGGAGAGAGAGAGAGAATAAAACGTGAAATGTCACATTACCTGTATCAAGGAAAAGTTCCTACTTTTTGTTTCTCTCTTTTTCTACCCTTACTTTTACAAAACATTCTAAAAGTGACTCAATAGTTTAGAATCTTACATGTATATCCATCCTCCTTTTATAACAAAAAAAAAAACTTAGGCACTAATCGGACATTACTTAATGAATTAAGGATGATTTGTAACAATAACCAAAAAAAAATGAGCAATATAATAAAAAATAATGATGTAGAGAGATTAGAACTATTTAGTTAGATAATGAATTTATATTTTTTTGGTTATTTTAGCCAATTTTTCATCACTTAATCAGATTATGAAGATTTATTATTACAAAAAAATCTGATGATATATTTATTTTCATTATTTATTTTTAATATGAAAATTAATAAATATATTAATTGGAATGCTAAATCAGAAAATTATTAATTTTTCATTATTAATGTAGCCAATAATTGTCCAAGCGTTCAATTTTAAATTAAAAGATAAAAAAGTAATAAAAACTTAATACAGAAATGAGATCTCCATTGTCAATGTACAATTTTTAAATGTTAAGAAGGAAAATGTGAACATGTTGTTATAAGATCTTCAATAATTAATTAAGCTGTAAAGATCTTCAATATCTTGCTCCATAATTTAATGAAACATTTATTTTATTTTTGAGCAAATTATAATGAAATGAAACATATATAAACCTTTACGTGGATAAAAAGGGTTCAAAAATCATGTAAATGTTGATTTTTTAATGTTTTTTTCCTTGGAGCGAATCTAATAGTAACATTCAAAAAGTAAAGGAGAATTTCTCTAAAAGGACGAATTTACCCTCGCACGTGAGAAGTTTGCATTCAGACCATCATATCACGTGCGAAATCCGAATACCTCTCTTCCGTTTTCCGAGGTCTTATAAAGATATTTCCTTTGTGTTTCTTTGATTTTTCTTCGACTTTCAAAATTTCTTCTTCAGGTGAGAACAGAGAAAGACAGAAACTTCCGTTTCAATTTCAAACCATGTCGGTGAGTTTTCTTTCTTTCTAATCGTTGGTTTTTGATTTTGGGTTTGATTTTTATCCGGAGAAAGATGATGTTTTTATTTTTTGCTGTTGATTTTTGTTTGATTGAGGAAAATGTGAACAGATCTGTTGATTGGGATTTGGTTATTTCTGTAATTTTTTTTGTGCGAAATGTTGTTTGATTATGTGGGCGAAGAATCGCTTGTTTTGGATTTGGTTGATTGATGTTTAAAAGTTTTTTGATTTTGGGTGGAACATACTGTTTCTGAGATGAAATTAGGGCAAAATGTTTTGTTGTGTGATCTGTAATATGCGATTCAGGTCCAAAGGATTAGTTTTTGAGACAAAGATTAGATTTTTTTTTTGGATTCTGAGCTTTGTTTAATCATCATCTTAGGTACTCGGTTATATGAACAGTATTTGCAGGTCTTGGTTCAGTAAAAGTTTGAAACTTGTATTGATGATACAATGCCATGATGGTTTCTCATCTTTGTGATCATTGTATTGATGATACATGGTTGGTTCGAGAGTTTAGAGTCCGTAGTTTAGGAGAAAAGGAATAAGTCTGAGATGTGATTTATGTGTTGGAAATATCAATAAGCAGAGTATTAAGTCTCACGAGATTGCTTTCGGCGCTTGCAGATGACAACTGTGAAAGTGAGCAATGTTTCTCTTGGAGCAACCGATCGAGACCTCAAGGAGTTCTTTTCCTTTTCTGGCGATATTCTCTACCTCGAGACCCAGAGGTTTGTTTTTCCCTTTCGAAAGTTCTGATTTCAACTCTTAAGTTCTTCAGGTTCCTAACTCTTTTTGACACGTTTGTATAGCGAGACAGAACGGTCTAAACTGGCTTATGTCACTTTCAAGGATTTACAAGGAGCTGAAACTGCGGTTCTTCTCTCGGTATTTTTCACTTCTTAGCCTGTATCCTTTCCTCTCTGTTGTTAACTTCCTTCGAGTGACGAGTGTTACTGCAATTCTTTCAGGGAGCAACGATTGTTGATTCTTCAGTCATTGTCACTATGGCCCCGGATTACCAACTATCTCCTGAAGCTTTAGCTTCCTTAGTAAGCGAAGCTCTGAATTCATCTTCTCTCTTGAGATCCTTCATAAGTAAACTCTCTTACCATTTCATCTTTCCGTAGGAACCAAAGGACAGCACCAAATCTCCTCGTGCAGGTGAGTCCGTGTTGAGAAAAGCAGAAGATGTTGTGAGCAGCATGCTTGCAAAGGGGTTTATACTGGGAAAAGATGCTATAGCCAAAGCCAAGAACGTCGATGAGAAGCACCAGCTAACATCCACAGCATCAGCCAAAGTGGCATCTCTGGACAAGAAAATCGGTTTCACGGACAAAATCAACACAGGAACAATCGTGGTCGGAGAAAAAGTCAGGGAAGTTGATCAGAAGTACCAAGTCTCAGAGAAAACCAAATCAGCAATCGCCGCAGCGGAACAGACAGTGAGCAATGCAGGTTCAGCTATAATGAAGAACCGTTATGTTCTCACGGGTGCCACTTGGGTCACTGGAGCTTTCAACAAAGTGGCTAAAGCTGCGGAAGAAGTTGGGCAAAAGGCGAAAGAGAAAGTCGGTATGGCTGAAGAAGAAGAGAAGAGGAAAGTGGTTGATGATTTCGCTAGAGTTCACTTGTCCGAATCACCAAAGGCGGATGATGCATCATCGAAGCAAGAAACCGAACATGAATCAACAAAAGTCTCTGAATCTCATGAAGCAAAGAAAGAATCTGAACATCTCGAGCCGCAACCGCAACAATCTCCTCCTCCTCCATATGTGGCTCCGACTCAACCTTGAGATATGCAGACAAGTAAAGATCCTTTCTTTCGGATTCTTGTTGTAAACGGTAATACTTGGAACTTTTATCTTTTTGGATTGTTTAAAAATGAAGATCGATCTTGTTTATTTAGGACGAAAGAAAGACTTGTGTTCTTGTAACATTGGATTCATGATCTATTTGGTAAATTAGTCCTTTAAAAAAGAAAAACAATTTTGGTCCTTTCTTGTTTTTTCTTAAAGTTTCTCCATTCTTGCAAAGAAGCAAGGTCATAATCTAATGGGTAGAGGTCCTTTGAATCGCCTGTTAGGATGTTCCCTCGCTTTGTAGTACTGGCCCTGAGGCCTTTTGCTTCACTTCATGGTTCGACCTTAATTTGTTGATCCTCCGTGTCTACCAATCAATTTTTAATGGCATAACCAAAATAGTGAAATACCAATCAATTTTTAAAAATTTAAATAAATAGAGACAATCTTTTCTTTCTTTTTTTTGTCGTAATCTTTTATTTATTTTTGTTACCTATTTGGTTTAATATACTCAAATCTTTTAATGTCTCTTTTCTAAATATAAGAATTTAGGCATTTAGTTTTTTTCAAGATAAGATCGATGTAAATTTTGACTACCCACAAAAGAAAAAAGAGAGAAAATATTGACAAATATATACCACATACCAAAAACATATAAGTCACTGTCAAAATAAAATCACTACAAATAGTCTCTAAAGTCTAAACAGATTCATCTCAGATTTACAGACAACTCAAAATCATTACCCAAAAACAAAATGAAGAAATTAGCTTCATTAATATTCATTTGTGTTCTACTTTTTTCAACATGTGAGTTTCTCTTTCTTTCTTTTTTTCAACTGTATTTATCATCATTATTATATATATGATTTTTTTTTATAGGTACACTGATTATGGCACGAAGTGGATATAGACCATGCAAGATAGACTCTGATTGTGTTACACTCAAATGTCCAAATCCATTTGGACACCCTACGTGTGTGAAGGGTGGTTGTGAATGCCCACTCGAAGGAATCGTGGCATTACCCGATGATACCAACTGTGGTGTGGCTTCATGCTACGACTATTGCGTAGCTAAAGGTGAACAAGTTTATGCTTGTATCTTGAACCAATGTTACTGTCGCAAACCTCCCATGTAGTTTCTAT